CACATGGAACAATGTCTTCTACTGGCCCTAAGTGATTGGGCCAACATCCTGGACCGTCCTCGACGCAGGGATGGATTAGGTTGTGCTCGACGTCGGGTAAGCCATAGGTCCAACCTAGAACAACAACCCCCCTAAGTCGTTGCCATCAGGCAATGAGTCAATGACTTAGTGTGAGTTCGTGTGTCGAGGAGGAACAAGGAACTCTATCCGAGGAGAGCCTTTTGCGGACACGAGATTCTGCTCATAACGTGTTGAGTTTTGTTCTCAAAAAGGAAACGTCGTGCAAGGTCCGCGGTCGAGGACTTACCCTGCGTTCACTTTGAACGTAAGGTTTCTGCTCACGAGTTGTGAAGTTGCTTGTGAATTTGCTTCAAATTTTAGATGAGGTTGTGCTCGCGAATGAGTGTGAAGGTTCGCCAAGGCTGTGCTCGCGAATTGATGTGAAGGTTCATTTATCGTGTTCGACAAGTTGTGCCCGACCTCTTGGAGTCCGAAAGGTTGATGGGACTCGAAGGAAAAAAACTTGTTGGTTCCTCGAGCCACATGATGGGACATGAGAAGACGAAACGTTTCGCTTCCTCGCGCCACGTGTCAGAATCATTAAATGCCTATGACGACCTATGAGTAGGGGTACTCAAGAGCCTAGGCGACGACACGCTTACCCATGCCATGGAGAAAGGTTATAAATAGGCAGAAGCAGGGTCATTTGCTCATTTCACTTTCACTCTCTTATCAACTTCCTTTCTAGCCTCAGATTTTCTCTCTGTCGTTTGTCGTCACCACCGTCACAAGTTTTCTTCAAGTCAGCTTCAGTACTCTTTAAATTAAGTAAGCATTTTTCCTCTAATCCTCAGTTTGTATGCTAGTTTTTAGAACGTAGATTGCTTCAGAATGTAGATTGTCTTAGGGTGCATGCTTTCCTTTACGCCGGGTTCCGGCGGTGTTGGTGTTTGGTGGTGGCTTGGCCATTTCCAAACATCGGTGGTAGGGGGGTCTTATGCTAGAAGGGTTAGGTTTTGAGTAGAACATCGCCTTGGCGCCGCCGTTATAGCAGTGAACACGACTTGCACCGGTGAAGCTTGAGTTTTCTGATGATGTTCTTCTGTCGAGGAGGGTCTTCCCCACGAAGCTAATGAGTTTTTGATGAAGCTTCACGTCGAGGAGGCTCTTCCTCGTGGTGCTTATGAACTTCATGATGAACTCCCATTTATTCCTTGCCGAATCCTTGCGTCGAGGAGGGCCTTCCCCGTGACGCTCAAGAATTTTATAACGAATGTCAGTTTATTTTTTGATGCATCCTCGCGTCGGGGGGGATCTTCCTCGTGATGCTCGTGAACTTTAGGATAAATGTCAGTTTTTTGATGAATCCTTAGGCCGAGGAGGATTTTCTTTGTGACCTATGATGTGTCGACCAAAGCCTCAGACGAGGAGAGGATCCTCGTGACTTTCTTGCTCGCCGTTGAGTAAGGGCCTTGGTCGAGGGCAGCGTCCTCGTGTCTTTCTTCGCCCTTTCATGTTTTTATGGCTCGCAGCATAGAAGGTCATGAGCTGGTGGACACCATGACAACAATCAATATGCACCCTTCAAATTTCATTAATTTTTAAATAGTTTGGTCAAGAAATGGATTGTTTCAAGGCACCAATCAATTGACACCATTGGAATTTTGAAAAATGCAAAATAGAACTATCATGCAATTGATTGCACCTCTTGAAAAAAATTGTTTTTCTTCACTTGTTTGCTCTTGTAGTGTGACTTGAGATATAAGACTTGTACTTGTGAAGTGATAAAATTCTTGAATGCTTTGTTCTTAATTAATTGTGATTGACTTAACATGTGTATGAGAAATCCTAGTTGGTTAATCGATAAAAGTGAGAAACCCTAGTTAGTTAATGATGAATGTGGGAAATCAAATTGAATTATATGATAGTATGCAAACCTTAGTTGGTTTAAATGGTCGTGTATGTTCTCGATCGGGAAGATAAATCGTGGATAACCCTAGTCGGTTAAACAATTGTATATGTCTATGCTTACCTAAAGGATATTAATCGTTAAGCGAGGAACCTATCTCTTAAAGGAAATTAATAAGGGATAAAATGTTATATAACCCTTCTTGTGTGTATCTATTTACCTAATGTATATTACTTGATAAGTGAGAATACATAAGATTGTGCCAAAATTCAGTGGTAAGTATAAGATTATCTAGTGCCAGTCGAGAGTAGAATATATTAGTTATGTAAGTATCCAAGGTGGACATTTATAGGGCTCTGAGGGGTATGTCTCATCGTAAAAGCCGCCAGAATGATAAGGCTTAGTAATTTGCTCCGTTCGATGAGACTAATCTTTCTCTAATGTATATGTGTGATCGAGTAGCTAGGAATCGATGTTCATGTCTTGTGTAAGCAATAAGAGTTACGTTATCTTATACACTTGTCTATTACAGTACTTAAATTCCCTTCGAGGCTTTTTTTTAATGATGAACTCTTGTCGAGTTCGAATAAATTAGAGATTGTTGGATTATATGACTCTTATTCATTTTCTTCATCTATAAATTATTTAATTTTTGGTCAATGTTAAGTCATTAATTGTGAAGATTTCTCCAACAATATATGACACCTCTTTCTATTAGACCAATATTTAGTTCTGCATCTGCCCTTTAGTTTTGATGATAACAATACATTGATTCTTAAAGAACAATTTTGTACACTAATGGTTTTTGTCAAGTGTGTAGCTTTTTTTTATATAGGTTCTGACTCGGAAGCATTAACGAGTGACGTCATCAGATTCTGAAATCAACACACTTGACTCTGAAGAGAAACAAGCGCGTTACAAGAAGTAGTCAAGATCTAGAAAGCTGTTAGACAATAATTTTAAAGAAAGTTCGTGCTAAAGCCTCTGATCATGATCCTGATTCAAGAGCCTATGAATGTTATGTCTCCTTCAAGACTATGCGCTCAAGATATGAAGATTCTGAAGAACGAAGTGCTGAAGATTTTGGAGAACAGGTTCTGAGGAACAATGTCAAAGCTCTGAATACTTTAGTTTTGAAGATTCTCAACAAGGCCCTTAATTCTTCTAACCATGCTTTAACAACTACATTCAGAAGCCTTTGATGATTAGAAGATGATAAGAACAATCCGTTTTACGTGGGATGAATAATACACAGTACAAGATCAAAACATTCCTTCCACTACGCGGATTTCGCGGAGTAAGGACATTTATGTTGTACGATTTTGTCTTCCACCATTGACGAAAGTTATTCAAGGTTCTAACTTTTTCAAGAAGATTACTTTTCTACCCTCCAACTGATCTTTTCTTGGCTATATAAGGAAAACTTGAAAGACTGAATGAGGTTAACAATCTCAATATGTTATTCACACACTGCTGCATTTTCTCTGATAATATTATTCTTATGAATATTGTATAAGCACACCTAGAACTTTTGTTCATATTGTGTGTATTTCATTGTACTTAAGCGTTGTGTTAATCAGCTTTGTAGAAGCAATCATTGTAAAACAGTTTGTAAAATCTCAAATCTGTTTGATTGATTACCTTGAGTGACTAGAGTTAGCCTGTACACTCGAGAAGACAAAGACGACTCTCTTTGTGGTGTCTATAATCTGTTTGATTACAGCGGATTAAGTCCTTATTGAGAAAGTGAAATCACCTTGGTAGGATGGACTGTAGGTAACTTAGTTAACAACGAATCAACATGAAAATAACGTGTTATTTTTATTGTTCACGTGTTTGCTTGTTGATTCGATTTCGAAAAAAAATTATTTTTTAAAAAACTCAATTCAAACTCTTTTTTCTTGTGTTTTTTTTTTTGCCACCTTCACTTTCTTCATAATTAAGAGATTGCCTCCAATCATTACATGTCACACATGCTGCATGCTTCACACCTCCTCCTTACTTACATGTTCATTGCCACATGTTACTTTGCTATTAAAATTGAAGAATGAAGAATATATATATATATATATATATATATATATATATATATATATATATATATATATATATATATATATATATATATATATATATATATATATATATATATATATATATATATATATATATATATATATATATATATATATATATATATATAACAATTAAATACATATTTTGTACGTATTTTGGGGAGGTTAAGGAGATATTGAGAGAAAACATTATCCTTTTGTCCTCATTACTATAAGAGGATTTATTGTATTTTCTTTCTCTTTTACACATAAAGTTAACTAAATAATGTAATTAAAAGTGAAATGTTAATATATTCTACAATGCATATAGTTAATATCTCCTACATCACCTATATACACAGTTCCATAACCCTTGAGAAGAAGGAAAAGCTATCTACCAACTAAAGTATATATTTTCCATAGTGGACAAGGACAACTTGTAACATGTTTCAACCTCGTGATAACAATAGTCAATGTCATATACTATACTCATTTCTAATTGACCCCAACTATCATATTTAAGAAAATTGTATGTCTAATCATAGTAAGCTAAGCAATCATTTTCCCTATTTTTATTAAAATTGAAATAATGTATTCCAGAGTAAGAAGTACGATATCCTATATTTGACTCAGATATAGACACAACGAATTTAATAAAATTTTGAAAAAATAAATAAATTAAATATGTATCAGCGCAAGTGTTTGAAATCAACACAAACACAAACTCATATTTTTTTTCATAAATATCGGTGCTACGTAGATTACAGATAAAAGAAATAATTAAATTTAGTGTTAGATGCTTTTTATATTTTTAATGTTAAAATGAAATATGTTTTGTGTGAGAATGTTGTATTATATAAATAAAAAAGACATGTTACAACAAACATAGATAGCGTGCAAAACCAGTGAGACATAAAAAAGGAACCAACAAAAACTATTATAACTCTTTTGTCATGACAGAGAATAGAACAAGAACAAAAAATGCTGATCAAAGTTTAAGGTTTTTGTTGTAGTTCTAGAGAGAGAGAAGAAGAAGAATGGAGAGTAATGAAGTATCAAGAGTTGAAAGTTTAAGAAGAGTCAGTAGTTCATCCATGTGGAGGAACAACAGTATGGATATTTTCTCAACATCTGAACGTGAAGATGATGAGGAAGCACTTAAATGGGCTGCTATTGAGAGATTACCAACCTATTTAAGGATTAGAAGAAGCATAATCAATGACGAGGAAGGTGAGGGGAGAGAGATTGATATAAAGAAGCTTGGATTAACTGAGAGAAAGGTTTTGTTAGAGAGACTTGTGAAGATTGCTGAAGAAGATAATGAAAAGTTCTTGTTGAAACTCAAGGAAAGAATGGATAGAGTTGGAATTGATATTCCTACTGTTGAAGTGAGATTTGAGCATGTGAATGTGGAAGCACAGGTTTATGTTGGAGGAAGAGCTTTACCTTCATTGTTCAACTTCTTTGTTAATGGCTTAGAGGTAATTACTAATTAATTCAGTTTCTGGTTTTTGCACTTTTGTTTTGTATTTGATTGTTTATGAAATAAGCTCTTTTTGTTTGTTAAGGGATTTTTGAATTATCTTCATGTTGTTCCAAGTCCAAAGAAATCATTGCATATTCTTCAAAATGTTAGTGGAATCATAAAGCCTCAAAGGTAATGAATTCATGGTTTTTTCTTTTTTTGTATTTGTTCTTTTTCTTATAGCTTTTTCTTATTCTTGTCTTGATGTGGAACTTATTGCAGAATGACTTTACTTTTGGGGCCACCAGGCTCTGGCAAAACCACTTTGCTTTTGGCCTTGGCTGGAAAACTTGCTAAAGAATTGAAAGTAAGTAATTTGAAAAAAAAATATAGTTGATAGAACCACGATACTGAGAATAATTTGAAAAAAATATAGTTGTGTCAGAGACTAGCACATTTTGAACTCTGATACGTCTTCTATCTGAATTGTCGGTGCTGTGTAAAAGTAGTTGAATAGTATTTTAATTGTAATAAGTAATAATTTGATTGGTGATGGAACTTTAGAATTCTGGGAGAGTGACATATAATGGGAAAGGACTAGAAGAGTTTGTGCCACAAAGAACATCAGCTTATATAAGTCAACATGATAATCACATTGGAGAAATGACTGTTAGAGAAACCCTAGCTTTCTCAGCAAGGTGTCAAGGGGTTGGACACAATTATGGTTAGTTTCTTCGTTTTCAATACGATAATGTAAAGTGATTTATGTTTCGTTATGTTCACGTAAAAGTGGACTGAACTATAAATTATAGTGCAAAAGCTCCAAATTCTAGCTTCAAGAGAGAATCAATTCTGAAGGAAAAATCAATTTCACTCGATAACATCCAAATATTTCAAAATCAATTCTACTCTACTTTTCAGATATGTTGACTGAACTACTAAGAAGAGAGAAAGAAGCAAAAATTAAACCAGATCCTGATATTGATGCCTATATGAAGGTGATAAACAACCCTATGAAATTTATGTTTGAAATTCTGAACACTTTGCATTATAAGGATTATAAGGAAGTTGCATTTTTTGTTTCTGTTTGTATGATTCATTCAAAATTGTGCAGGCAGCAGCGCTAGAAGGACAGCAGGCGAGCGTGGTAACCGACTATATTCTCAAGGTAAGATTCTCGATCCGTCAATTTGAGGTAATATAGATAACTTGTAAAGCAATGTAGTATTTTTTTTTCATCTGTTTTTCTTTTCAAAATTTTACAGATTTTGGGACTTGAAATATGTGCTGATATTATGGTCGGAGATGGAATGATAAGAGGTATCTCCGGAGGACAGAAAAAGAGAGTCACAACAGGTATTTCATTTATCGATAGAAGCATGGCGAAGTTACTTACGAGTTTAATTTTGATACATTGTCAGCGTAAAAAGTATCGTATCTAAGACTTTGGAGTTAAATTATGATTAAAGTCAAATGTGATTATGATGTTTTTTTTTTTGTTGAAAAATGTGAAGGTGAGATGCTGGTTGGACCTATAAGAGTGTTGTTCATGGATGAGATATCAACTGGTTTGGACAGTTCAACCACTTTTCAAATTATCAGCTCGATCAGACAATCGATCCATATTCTGAACGGAACTGCACTCGTGTCACTTCTACAGCCAGCACCGGAAACTTATGAATTATTCGATGATATCATACTTCTCACCGATGGACAAATTGTTTATCAAGGACCAAGAGAGAATGTTCTCGAGTTCTTCGAATCAATGGGATTCAAGTGTCCTGAGAGAAAAGGCATCGCGGATTTCTTACAAGAAGTATACTTCCTTTCGTCTTTCTATTAGAACTTCGTTACTTTCTCTTATCGATGTGAAGTTGATTTTGTTCTAATATTATGCAATAGGTGACATCAAGAAAAGATCAATGGCAATATTGGGCGAATAAAGACGAACCGTATAGTTTTGTTACTGTCAAGGATTTTGCTGAAGCCTTTCAGATATTTCACATAGGTCAAAAGCTTGGTGATGAACTAGCTAATCCTTTCGACAAATCTAAATGTCATGCGAATATCTTGACTACAAAGAAATATGGTGTTAACATGAAGGAGCTTTTAAAGGCTTGTGCTAGCAGAGAGTTTTTGCTTATGAAGCGAAATTCGTTTGTCCATATATTCAAAGTCACTCAAGTAAGAAACATTCAAGAACTAATGTTCCTCATATCATATTCTATATTTCGCTCGGTTCTAATGAATGCAATGTTCCTCATTTTCAGCTTATTTATTTAGCAATCATGACAACAACATTGTTTCTAAAAACTAAGATGCATAAGGATACAGTGGAAGATGGAGGAACATACATGGGAGCACTATTCTTTACGGTGCTAGTAGCGATGTTCAATGGAATATCAGAGCTAAATATGACTATCATGAAACTTCCTGTCTTTTACAAGCAAAGAGATCTTCTTTTCTACCCTTCTTGGGCTTATTCTCTTCCACCATGGATCCTCAAAATACCAATAACTCTCATAGAAGTTGCTATTTGGGAAGCCATCACTTACTACGCCGTCGGCTATGATCCAAGTTTTCTAAGGCAAGAAGTCACCACATCACAAATAATCAATTAAGCTACCAAATTCATATTTGTTTCTTCGCTAATTGATTTTTTTTGACAGGCTTTTAAAACAGTACTTAATATTACTATGCATTAACCAGATGGCATCTTCACTATTTCGGTTAATGGCTGCATTAGGAAGGAATGTTATAGTTGCAAACACTGTTGGGTCATTTGCATTGCTAGTAGTTATGGTTTTGGGAGGATTTGTGATTTCAAGAGGTACACAGTTGTAATTTTACTTACAAAACCACCAATGTTGTCTCTAAACTTTCAAAATTTATATTACTTGTCCCTCAAGTAATCAAATATCATGAATAGTCTCTATTGTTATGTCATGCTTATCTCATTAGTCTTTGTTGTTGCATCAGAGGATGTGCACAAATGGTTTCTTTGGGGATATTGGTCGTCGCCATTGATGTATGGACAGAATGCTATAGCTGTGAATGAATTTCTTGGACATAGTTGGAGAAAGGTAAACAAAATTATCGGTTTCTGTTCTAATGATGAACAAATTCGTAAGAGAAACTACGAACTTTAGAAAGATATATTTTTTATGACTAAAATTATTGAATGATGCAGGTTACTCAAATTTCCAATGAAACATTGGGAGTTTTGACAATGAAAACTCGCGGTTTTTTCCCACAAGCTTATTGGTATTGGATAGGCGTAGGAGCATTGATTGGTTACGTTTTTCTGTTTAACTTTCTATTCACCCTGGCTTTACAATATCTCAGCCGTGAGTACCGTCTTTCATATCTCTTTTCGAGCTTTGTACACTACTTAGACCTCTTTTCTGATATCATTGGAAATGTTGGCATTTTTCTGTAGCATTCAGAAAGGATCAAGCAGGACTATCCGAGGAGGAGTTGCAAGAGAGAGATGCTTCAATAGCTGAGGAGTTTACACAGTTACCGACTCGAAAGAGAATTTCTGGTGTGTCTTTGAACTTTTTTTCTAGCTTGTAAAGTTTGGTATTCAAGCCATAACATATTGACTCTGATGACAAAACAGAAACAAAGATGGCAGAAGAAGAACTTATGCCATCCGCGTCTTTTTCTGCAAGAGTTGATAATGGTAAAGCTAGTAGAAGTGGAAGGAGAGGCATGGTTCTTCCTTTTCAACCACTATCCCTCACTTTTGATGAGATCAAATATGCTGTAGACATGCCACAGGAAATGAAAAGTCAAGGAGTTTTCCAGGATCGTCTCGAACTTTTGAAAGGTATCACTGGTGCATTTAGGCCTGGAGTACTAACAGCTTTGATGGGAGTAAGTGGTGCCGGAAAGACTACTCTAATGGATGTTTTAGCCGGAAGGAAAACCGGTGGATATATTGAAGGAAACATCACAATATCTGGCTATCCAAAGAATCAAAAAACGTTTGCTCGCATATCAGGATATTGCGAACAATTTGATATCCACTCACCTAATGTTACAGTTTATGAATCTTTGTTATATTCTGCGTGGCTTCGGTTACCACCTGAAGTAGATCATGCTACTAGAAAGGTAAAATTTTCTACAGTCCAAAATCAAGGCATTGAGTTGATGTAAGAGATTATTAACTTGAATTCAATTTTATGTGATGCAGATGTTTATTGAAGAAGTTATGGATCTTGTAGAGCTTAACTCATTAAGAGAAGCACTAGTTGGATTGCCAGGCGAGAATGGACTTTCAACCGAACAACGCAAAAGACTTACAATTGCGGTTGAGCTTGTAGCCAATCCGTCGATAATATTCATGGACGAACCAACCTCTGGCCTTGATGCTAGAGCAGCTGCAATTGTAATGAGAACAGTGAGGAACACCGTGGACACAGGACGTACCGTAGTTTGCACGATCCATCAGCCAAGTATCGACATTTTCGACGCCTTTGATGAGGTAACAAATCATAATCAATTTTTGTTTTGGCCTTTTGGTTTCCAAAGTTAAAATATTTAACTAATTACTTCAAATCTCAACCTTTTCAGCTTCTACTTATGAAATTGGGAGGTGAGCAAATATACGCCGGTCCATTAGGCCGCCACTGTTCTCATTTGATTCAATACTTTGAGGTGCGTCTAATGTAAACGATGTCGAGCATATTATAATGTAGCTTATGTAGAATAAGCATATTCATTTAGTGTATGAATACTATAGGCTATTCAAGGAGTTCCTAAGATCAAAGATGGTTATAATCCTGCAACATGGATGTTGGAAGTTACATCAGCAGGATCAGAAGCAAATCTTAAGGTCAACTTCACTAATGTGTACCGAAACTCGGAATTATACCGGTTAGAATTCTTTCTTATACCTTATTGCATTAAGCACTAATGTTATAATCAATCGGTTAATGACACTTTTTAATTGTTTAGGCGAAACAAACAATTGATCCAGGAATTAAGTATACCTCCTCAAGGTTCAAAGGATTTATACTTCGATACTCAATATACGCAAACCATGTTGTCACAATGTAAAGCTTGTCTATGGAAACAACATTTATCATATTGGCGAAACACATCGTATACAGCAGTTAGACTGTTATTTACCACACTGATAGCATTCTTGTTTGGAATCATATTTTGGAACATTGGCTTGAAAAGGTATGTGCAAAAATAAACAATAGATTGAAATAAAACTTAACAAAGGAATGTGAGAAATGAAGTTCAAAATAATTGTATTACAGGAGAAAGGAGCAAGATCTTTTCAATGCAATGGGATCAATGTATTCTTCTGTTATATTTATTGGAGTACAAAACGGCGCGTCAGTTCAGCCTGTAATAGCAGTTGAGAGAACAGTCTTTTATAGAGAAAGAGCTGCTGGAATGTATTCTGCTTTGCCTTATGCTCTAGCACAGGTAAAGTAACATTCAATGCATGTAATTCTGGCACTTATGGCAGTGCCGTGTCAGTATCAAACACTGACATGTGTTGAACACCAGACACGTCTTTGTTCAGAGGTGTTGGTGCAACAGAGACCTTAATTAAGAATGATCTAAAAGTTGAACTAAACTATTTATTGTATTTGTAGGTTATTATAGAGCTTCCCCACATTTTGGTTCAGACCCTGATATATGGGATCATTGTATATTCTATGATGGGATTTGAGTGGACAGCATCAAAATTCTTGTGGTATATTTTCTTCAATTACTTCACTTTCTTGTACTACACCTTCTATGGTATGATGACCATGGCCATCAGTCCCAACCAACATGTTGCTGCAATAATGTCCACTTCATTCTATGCAATATGGAACCTTTTCTCTGGCTTTATCATTCCCTTATCTGTAAGTTACAACCTTCACATCTTTTATTAATTCAAATTCATCCCTTCACTGTCTCCAGTTAAATCTCTATCGTCGGATTAATCTAACAGATGATACTCTTGATCTCTATCTGCTTAGATTAATTCAACGATTGAGATTTTGCCGGTGAGGCACATGAAACTAAAGTTTTCTTAACATAGGTGGTTTCATGCATGAGTATAAACTAACTTTGAAAATTGATAACAATGACAGAGAATACCAATATGGTGGAAATGGTACTATTGGGTTTGTCCTGTTGCATGGACCTTATATGGATTGTTGGCTTCTCAATATGGAGACAACATGGACAGACTTGAGAATGGTCAAAGGGTTGAAGAATTTGTGAGAAATTACTTTGGTTTTGAACATGATTTTCTAGGAGTGGTTGCAATTGTTGTGGCTGGTTTCTCAGTGTTGTTTGCACTTATCTTCACCTTTGGTATCAAAGCATTCAACTTTCAGAAAAGATGAAACAAGCACAAATATTATATGATGATTCTTTGACAAATAAATTGATCATAATCCAAATTCTAGGTTGTCATGTCATGTCCTTAGCAAAGTTAGCATGTGTGTACTAGAAATGTGGAAATAATGTTTTATTTATTTATTCTATCACTTGGCATGTAAAGAACAAAAAGACTAGTTTATATATTTCAACATTATTTTTTATAGATGAAATAGTGTGTACTCACTCCTAAGTTAAATATAAAGAAAAAGTTCAAATTTATTTGATATAAGAGTTGAAATAAGATTTAATTGATCCAGGTAAGCCTGTCTTCCTAGTGCTTAGGAAATAGTCATGAATCAATCATTAATAATCCTTTATATGAATTGGACTCAATATAAAAGGCATGAATATATGAATTTTAGAAGACCGAGTATTGTAGTGTTATATTTGTAAAAAGTTCTGGCAAGGGAGATAATCATAAGTCGTATCAGGAAAGACGATAATCATATGTTGTCTTTAGGGAAGTACCGCTTTGCTCCAAAACTTTCCTCTCGCTCAATCATAGAAAATGTAGGATACAAAAGTTTTGAGGTAAAGAAAAGTCAGGGTCAGCAACTGACTCACGACCCCTTTAAAAATAGGGATTCAACCGTCTATCATTGACTGAGTAGGCGGTGACATTTTTCAAAGAAACCCTATGCCTAAAGTCTCTATAAATATCTCCCCCCAACAGAAGGGAGAATAAATCCTAATTCATACGATTACACCTAAGCACTAGATAAATATACAGAGCCTCTCGCTTCACGTGAGCAGGTCCTCTAAACAACCATAAATACCACCATAAAGGGATTCTCGCCACCTTGAGCAAACTCTAACCTCCATAGAGTGCAATATATCTACTAAGACCTCTGAGTACCCCTGTCCTTATAGGGATGACATGCACATCTGTCCTTTTTGACCAGTACAATGACGCCTATTGTAGGACTTCGATAAAACTAACCTGAACCACACTTGTTTCACTTTCATTCCTTCAATCCTCCTCACGAAGATTGCTTATAAAACTCCACATTTTAGTACAAACACCATTGTGAGGAGCTACGTTGGTGGAGGAAGCTCCAACTCTCCCCGAAAAAAGTATGCAAGGTATGGCTGCTTGCCGCTAATGTGATATCTCCTGATTTCTAGGGCAAAATGAAGGGAATCAGAGCTAAAATCACCTTTTTCCATAGTGATGTTATTTTCCGGGAGACGAGTCAGAAAGATACGAGGAGACCAGAAGATATCTCAAGAGTGCTACCAAAATAGAATAACGATAGGAATGGAAGATATCGTACTTGTAGGCTCCCATTATCCCTATAATCCCAGATGTAGATGTCGATTCTTGGGATCCCAAATTGGGAGTGGATAGTTAAAGTCTCACGCCCACTAAGGACCTTAAGGACGTTAGAATAGAGCTTATTCCGTTGCGGAACCAAAAATGAATAAGATTTCAGAAATTATGGTGGAGCTGAGCTTTGCGGATGAATTTACAAGGTGGCACCGTGGATCGAAGGTTAAGATCAAGGTACTCCTTGAACCGGAAGCATTGGTCTTGAGTCAACGTCGTCAATCTTTGATACGACAGTTCAGATAAGGGGTATATGCATAGTTAGCACTCTAATGCTCAAGTCAACTTAGGATTTGAGATAACTGTAATGAGAATGGAGATTAGAGATTGTTTACTTGAAAATCCTTTGCAAATGTATTTATACCTTGGATTTGATGGAGCAGGTAGAATGAGTGTGCCTCATGTTATTGGTCATTTGGACGACGTAGAGCAGTGGGTCGGTCCCTAGGCCTTTGGCTGGCACAAAATAGTTTTTGGAACAAGTTTGGCTTTACAAATATCCTTAAGTTTTGATGATAACAAAATGTAAGAGACATTTTTTTTTACTCTAATTATTTTACTGAGTGTGCAGAAAATTGAAAACAGACTGACTCTGAAGATATCCAAACTCTGAACCAAAGTATAAAAGAGTGTAGAAACAAGTCAAATATGATCTATCAAGTCAAAGTTTATGAACTAAAACTATCCAGATAGACTCTAATGAAAGTACTAACTACAAGTTTGTAAAAGTCTTAGGACACAATACTCCAAAGACTCTGAAGTATCACCAAAGTTCAAAAGACAGACTATGATCTCTACTCAAGCTTCAATCCACTTGCATACGAAGCCTCTGACTAGAAATATTTGTATCAATATGTCAATTTTGTTTGATGTGACAGAAGTACACAAAAAATCTACTTTCTGCATAAAGTATTGTACTTTGTGCCAAAGATGTCTTCCGCGTCCCATCACCTTCACCAACTATCGGCTACAAGCGTCACTCTAGTGTTGCATATGAAGTGACCTTCATACAACAAATACTTAGAGAATATTTCATCTATATAAAGAAGTATTTGAAGATTGAAGAAAAAGAGATTGATACACACGTACTAAACATTCATCAACGCTTACACCCAAGAAACATAGACAGAAAAATAAGAAGTGTTTCTCATAGTTATACACTTAGAACAAAAACTCATCGAATATTCTTGTTAAGTGTAATACTTGATTTAAACTTGTGTATCTGCTTATCTAAAGCATCTCGTAAACATAAAACTTATTATTACAACTCTACGTGTATTCCTCAAGTGACCATATTGGTCATACTTTTGAGAGGTCAATAACAGGTAGTTATTGAGGATTAAATTTTCTATAGCGACTAGGTAGGTCAAGATCTTAAGAAGTCAGTGACACTCAGATTTCTTAGGGGACCAGTTGGGTCAGAATTTTAAGAAATCAGTGATAGGCTGTCATTGCTTTTGTAATTAGTTTGATTATTGGATTAAGTCATTCTCTAAGAAAAAATCACTCAGGTGGGTGGACTGTGGGTAGCCTTGTTAACTATGAACCAGGATAAAAATCCTTGAGTACTTTATGATTGTTTTCATTGTTTTAAGCTTGTGTTTCCGGTCGCGAAAAATTATCATACTTGAAACCCAAATCAAACTGCGCATTTCTTTTGTTTCTTGAACCTTCAACAATTTACCCCAAGACTTGACATGCATTCTGGATGCTGGGAGAGTCTTTTAGTAGTCATGGCCAGCTCTTGAGAATGGTTTTCCAAGTGTCGATTGACATGCGCTGCTTTGGTTTTCCATCCTTGAAACATTTTGCGTTTTTATTTGACGTGTGGTCTGAAAAGGTGTGG